CATCAAGCCCTTGTCATGGTCTGATCATTCTCTCCTTCACATGGACTTTCAAGTCACTTCCACCCACCGCAGGGAGACGGAACCAACCAAATGGTTCCGTCCCAGGCGCCTGATGGACCCCGAAGGTTCCTGATGGAGCTTGGGCCATTTCCTGAGACTCTGGCTCACGACTCGACTGAGGACCTGGTGGTCGCCTGGGACAGGGCGGCTACTGGGGCCTTGGACCGTGTCGTGCCTTTGCGGCCTCTGACCCGATGCCGATCTTGTCTAGCTCCTTTGTTTTCCGAGGAGCTGAGAGAGATGAAGCGTCGGAAAAGACGCCTGGAGAGTGATTGGAGGACAAGCCGATCTGAATCTGACCGAACACAGGTGAGATCTTATATTAAGACCTACCTAGTGGCGATAAGAGCGGCGAAGTCTAGCTACTTCTCCGCTCTTATTGCATCTGCAGAGAACCGCCCAGCTGCGCTGTTTAGGGTGACCCGCTCCCTACTTCAGGTGGGGGTACGGGAAGATCCCTTAAAGGGTCGAGCTGAGGATTTTGTACAATTCCTGCATGATAAAGTCGCTCAGATTCAGGAAGGCCTGGACTCCGATTGGGTAGATCCAGGGGAGGAGACGGGGGCAGGTCTTGAGAGCGTTATCTGGGAAGAGTTTGACTCTGTGGCTCCTGAGGATGTGGACAGGATTCTGGGGAAGCTTAACGCTGCCACATGTTTATTGGACCCGTGTTCCTCCTGGTTGGTACTGGCCTCCCGGGAGGTTACACGAGGCTGGCTCCAGGGGATTATAAATGCTTCTCTGAGTGAGGGTGTCTTTCCCGCCGCCTTGAAAGAAGCAGTTGTGAAGCCCCTCCTCAAGAAGCCTTCCCTGGACCCGGCTATATTATCAAATTATCTCCAGTCTCCAATCTTCGCTTTGTTGCGAAGGTTGTTGAGAGTGTGGTGGCGCGACAACTACCCCGATACCTGGATGAAGTTGTCTATCTGGATCCGTTCCAGTCGGGCTTCAGGTCACGATACAGCACAGAAACGGCATTGGTCGCATTGGTGGATGATCTTTGGAGGGCTCGGGACAAAGGTTGCTCCTCTATCCTGGTCCTATTAGATCTCTCAGCGGCTTTTGATACCATCGACCATGGTATCTTACTGCACCGGCTGGAGGGGTTAGGAATAGGGGGCACCGTTCTTCAGTGGTTCTCCTCCTTCCTCTCTGACCGTTTGCAGTTTGTGTTGGCAGGGGGGCAGAGGTCGACCTCGAGGCACCTTATTTGTGGGGTGCCGCAAGGGTCAGTCCTCTCACCCCTTCTGTTCAACATTTATGTAAAACCGCTAGGTGAGATCATCCGTGGTTTTGGGGTGAGTGTTCATCAGTATGCTGATGACACACAGCTATACATCTCCACCCCAGACCATCCCAATGATGCCCTTGCTGTGATGTCCCGTTGCCTGGAGGCCGTGCGGATCTGGATGGGGAGAAACAAGCTCAGACTCAACCCCTCCAAGACCGAGTGGCTGTGGCTTCCGGCGTCCCGGTATAGTCAGCTGGTACCATCACTGACAATAGGGGATGAGATCTTGCTCCCCACAGAGAGGGCCCGCAACTTGGGTGTCCTCCTGGATTCACAGTTATCTTTAGAAGATCATTTGACGGCTGTGGCCAGGGGTGCCTTTTATCAGGTTCGCCTGATCCGCCAGTTGCGTCCCTTTCTGGATCGGGATGCCTTGCGCACGGTCACTCATGCCCTAGTTACCTCGCGTATGGACTACTGTAATGCTCTCTACATGGGGCTCCCCTTGAAAAGCACCCGGAGGCTCCAACTGGTCCAGAACGTAGCCGTGCGGGTGATTATGGGCGCAGCTCGTTACGCCCATGTAACACCTCTCCTACGCGAGCTGCACTGGCTCCCGGTGGTCTTCCAGGTGCGATTCAAGGTGTTAGTTATCACCTTTAAAGCGCTCCATGTCTTAGGACCTGGGTACCTACGAGACCGTCTTTTGCCACCAATAGCCTCCCACCGACCAGTTCGTTCTCACAGGGAGGGACTACTCAGGGTACCGTCAGTCAAATTATGTCGACTGGCGACTCCCAGGGGGAGGGCCTTCTCTGTGGGGGCTCCAACCCTTTGGAATGAACTGCCCCCGGAGATACGGAATATCCCTGATCTCCGTGCTTTCCGCCGTGCCCTCAAGACCCTGATGTTCCAACAGGCAGGGCTAAACATACAAACATGCGAATGATTTTTTAAATGTTATCTAATTCTGGGTTTTATTTAATTGACCAAACTAAGTAACAATTTTAATTAGCAATTTTATGATGTTTGTGTGTCTATATTTTTCTTGACTGTACACCGCCTTGAGTCCTACGGGAGAAAGGCGGTATAGAAATATAATAAATAAATAAATAAATAAAATAAGGCTGAAGGGGGCATTAACTAAAAAAATTCAGTTACAACAGAGATGATAGGATGGATGAGTGATGATCTGAACCTTCTTAGGAAAGCTGATGGAATTTGTGGAATAGATTTATGACATGCAATCAGAAGACAATTGTTAAGAGATATTGTGTTCCAATTTATAGCAAAATTTACTAAACAACAAGTGCTGTGGAGATATTCCCAATGAAGATCTATGATTGGGGGGAGTGACATGCAGTTGTTTGGAAAGATCACAGTTATAATTTAAAGGAAAAGTACAGATGATAAACTGGAAAGAATTACTTTATATTAAAAATCAATTGATGCTATTCGATCCTGGATAGATCAGAAACCATGGTTATGGTGGGTTCATGGGAGATTAGAAGCTGTTAGTGGACTTTCTGCAAGTTAAATACAATAACAGATTTTTAACAGAGGGCTTTGAAGCTTTGTGGTTGAGATTACCTGGTTTTTTTTCTTTTACAATAGATTGGTCAATTTGGATGATTGATTTTCATATCTGTGATATTTTTTTGTGTTACATATTGATTTAGCAAAAATACATGTAGAAGTTTATAAATTGTAGATTTGTTTTGCAAAACGATGAATTATTATTGTTGTAATTTATTTATTGTTATTGTTATTCAACCACGGGGAACATTTTATGTGTATATTTAATATTTTGTTTTACACACACTTAATATAATATAATATAATATAATATAATATAATATAATATAATATATAATATAATATATATAATATAATATAATATAATATAATATAATATAATATAATAATAATATAATATAATATAATATAATATAATATAATATAATATAATATAATATAATATAATATAATATAATTTCCAAATAGATGGGAGTACCAGACCATCTTATTTGTCTCTTGAGAAACCTATATGCAGGTGAAGAAGCAACAGTGAGAACTGGACACGGAACCACTGATTGATTCAAAATTGGGAAATGAGTCCGACAAGGCTGTATACTGTCACCCTGCCTATTTAACTTATATGCAGAGCACATCATGAGAAAGGCAGGGTTAGATGAATGAATTAAGATTGCCAGGAGAAATATCAACAATCTCAGATATGCAGATGATATCACTTTAATGGCAGAAAGCAAAGAGGAACTGAAGAGCCTCTTGATGCGGGTGAAGAAGGAGAGTGCAAAAGTTGGCTTGAAATTTAACATTAAGAAAACTAAGATCATGGCATCCGGCCCTCTCAATTCCTGGCAAATATATGGGGAAGAAATGGAGGTAGTGACAGATTTTATTTTCCTGGGCTCCAAGATTACCGCAGATGGGGACTGCAGCCAAGAAATTAAAAGACGCTTGGTCCTGGGGAGGAAAGCTATGGCAACATACTAAAGCAGCATACTAAAAAGCAGAGACATCATCGTGTCAACAAAAGTGCGTACAGTCAAGGCTATGGTTTTCCCAGTTGCAATGTATGGCTGTGAAAGCTGGACCATAAGAAAGGCTGAGCGCCAAAGAATTGAGGCCTTTGAACTATGGTGCTGGAGAAGACTCCTGCGAGTCCTTTGGACTGCAAGGCGATCAAACCGGTCAGTCCTAAGGAGATCAACCCTGACTGCTCTTTAGAAGGCCAGGTCCTGAAGATGAAACTCAAATACTTGAGAAATACTTGAGAAACTCAAATGAGAAGAAAGGACTCACTGGAAAAGAGTCTAATGCTGGGAAAGATTGGGGGCAAAAGAAGAATGGGACGACAGAGAACGAGGTGGCTGGATGGAGTCACTGAAGCAGTAGGTGTGAACTTAAATGGACTCCGGAGGATGGTAGAAGACAGGAAGGCCTGGAGGAACATTGTCCATGGGGTCGCGATGGGTCAGACACAACTAACAATAACAATTTCAAAGAGCTATATTATTAAGATTGATAGTCCCACATGGAAACTTATATGGCAAAATAGGCAACTAAGAATTTCATGGTAAAGTTGAGACTACCTATTGATGATGGGTTTTCCTGACTAGATTGTTAACACTATCATTTATCATCTCTGGATATTACTATTTTTGTAAATTACTTTTTTCCTGTTTCTTTTGTAAAATAGCATTTAAAAATGTTTTATAATATCTTTATATTTGATTGAGAAAATCCACATATAAACAAACTGATTAATGTAGTTGGCTTTGATGTCTTTTTCCAAAAGCCTAAAGAAAAACCCCTTGAAATCTCAGAAGCAAAGAGATGTCATCACAGCCTATCTTTCAACTCTTCTTTTTTCAAATAGACCTATGCTTTGTAAAGGAATCAAGTTTGTCTTTCAGATTTATTTTACACTGAGGAAATCTTGCCATATTGGCCCAAAACCATCTAATAAAAGACTGAAAACTGTTTGGAATCAAATACTATGATATATCAAAATCAGGGAGACAAATTTCCTTTACAATCTTTTATTTTATTTTATTTTTATTTTATTTGATACCTTTATAGAAAATATTAGCTTTCAATGAGTGTATTTTTATAAATTGCAACTCAGAACTGCATTCATTTTTTAAATGCTTTCTTTCATTGCAGAATTGGGTTAATTACTTACCTAGGATCACAAAGAAACTTGATCTTTTCTCCTTCGTCTCTCCAAATCAGCCATTCTCGAAATGAAGGATGTACAAACATTCGGGTCATATCTCTGCGTCTGATAAGAAACATAGAAAGATTTTCCATTCTTTGCTGAAAGTCCTCCCATTCTAAAGTACCTTCAATACTCCCAGCATTGATAGCCTGAAAAATATGCTCATCTGTCAAAGGATGTAGAGATGCCACTGCCACATTCAAAAGAGGCATTACCCGGTCAAAGGAAGACTGTGTTGGGAACTTCATATTGCACTGCAGTAGATATACTTCTGAAAGGGAGACAGGCACTACCTTATAACTGGAGCTTTTTAACACCAAATAGCCCTTCTCAATTAGATCAAATGTGAGCTTAAGGTATAGGTATGATCCTTGACTCAGGGTTTTGAGATGCGAACTGAGTTTGCCAAAGGTTGTATTGTCCATTTTGCCATTAAGAGAGATATTATTTTGTATTTCCGAGCTGCTCTGTATTCGGTGTAATATATAGGCTTGGAGATCTTGATCTATAGCTTCATTTTCTTCTAGTCTATCCAGGAATATCCTATGGAAGGGCAATAACTTTATTATTTCCTAAAGGAGACAGAGAAAAAAAAAATGAACAACAGAGAACTTGAAGAAAGCTTACATACAATATCTCACTGTATAAATATTAGCAATCTTTTACCTCCCAAGTAGCATCCCAAACCATATATACTGGATTTCTTATGCTCGGATCAAATCACCGTTTTCTTTCTTTAAACTATTATTATGTCTTTGCATTGAAAATATACAGAGTCCCTGCTATTAGGCTTACAATCTAAAAATATGAACAGAACAAGGGGTAAGAGGGAACAGGAAAAAGTACAATTTTTATTCATATAGGCTTATTAAATGCCCGAGAATATGTGAAAATAACATTTTAAAAATTCTAAAATCCATTGAAAGAATAAGGTGATGATAATGTGAACATTTCCTACATGTTCATATTTTCTACAAAGTCATGGCACTTTATAAATGATGACTATGACCTTAATCCAGAATTTACTGATATGAATGAATGAAAAGTACAGGCTAAATTCTCACTCATGTGTTTTAAATTAAACATGCATTCATATATTTAGTGTTGTTTTTTAGTGTTGATTTGAAAATACTTGAAAATACTCAAGAGCAGAAATGCAAAATTTCTGAACATTTTGCAGGAGATTCCCCACAAATCTCCCTTTGACCCAGCAAAATATCCAGGAAATTCAGTAAAATTCAAGATGTTTTTCTAAAGCAGATTTTCTTTCATAGATTTAAAGATGCTATTTTATTACAGAATTATTACATGAATGGCTTTGTCAGGTTTGGTTTAATAAGAATTCAATTATGATTTATATAGTGAAGATAGCAGAATAGAGAATCACAGTGAGTTAAAAATTCATCAGTTAATAAAGAATTGTAAAACATGTCTTTTTAGTTCCTTGGTACTTTTAAAATAAATCTCAAAGGAAATCTTACAGATCCTGAGAAGTTTCTTCAACTTGATAATCTCTGGACTCTTTTCTGTGTCTTCTGAGCAAAGACAATCAGATTTTGTTTGGGTTGTGTTTTTGTGCCTTTGAGCAGTCTTGATTTCTGACCACTAACTAACTGAACAAATATTTGCAGTTTTGGCAAAATTTCCAAGTGAATCCAGGGAAAGCAGAGTTTTTGTCCATCAAGATACTTTGCTGACTCTGATATTGTTTTCTTGAAGGGGTAACATGTCAATGACTTGGGTGAGCTAAATGGACAGGAATAGGCTGTGGGCAGAAGGACCTTAACTGATGCTTGGATTGGTTATAGGCCAATCCAGAGCAAGAGAATCTCACAACAGTAATTCATGTTGTCATCAGAAATAGACTGCAAGTTGCTCTATATGGTTTCTTTTAAAAAAACATTTAGAACTTGATACAAAATGCAATAATCCTTATGGTAACTGGCACAAAATGTTATGAACGTATTATGCTTATACTGATGGTCCTGTGTATCAATAGACTTTCAGATATAATATCAGCTGCTGGGTTTTGCTTATTAAATATGTTTAAAAAGCTCCTGGGAGCTATCTAAAGTTTGTTATAGTATGGGTAGTTAGATAGATGGATAGACAGACAGACAGACATATATAGCCTGGCAGGCAGACACATAGACAGAATCTTATATAATGTAGCTTCAGGACTTCCTCATTAATGAATGATTTTACAGTGGTAATTTTCTCTGATGTTCATAATAGACATATCAATTATCATTAGATCACATGAGCCTTTTGCAATCATAAATAAGAGTCAGTTGCCAAACATCACGTGACCAGGTTGATGCTACAATGGTCGTAAGTCTGAAAAATGCTTATAAGTCACTTTTTTCAGTGCTGTTATTACTTTGAACAGTCACTAAACGAACTGTTGTAAATCGAGGACTAGCTATACTACTCAGTTCCTTGAGAAGCAACAATGCAAATACCTGTAACTGAGCCACACTTGCATCTGATCTATTTAAGGGCAGCCATTAACAACCAACTCTTTGTAGGGAATAATTCAACAAATCTAGTTCAGTGGAGGAAGCTATGACATTATAAAATAAATATATGGAATTTGAGGATGTTTTGGAGAAAGTAGAAGCAGATAAGCTGCCCCACAAAGATCCTATGAGTGTGACATAGATTTGGTCTTTGAGGCCCATATACTGGTAGGGTTACTACATTCCCTCTGTGGGTTTTTTTCAATAAAAATCTAAAACAAGGATTTATACGGCTACCAATCTTTCCTAGTACTGTTCCTGTTTGTTAAAAAGAAGTATGGTTACTTCTTGAATAAAAAAGTTTATTCAATAACTACTGTGCTTTAATTTGAATCAGCATTTGCAATCATTATTCCCTGCCACTTATTTTGGACTTATTGGAGTGGTCACCATTTCAATCTTCCCATAGGGCTTCTGACAAGCAAAGTCAATGGGAAAACCATTTAATTATCATGTGATTTACCTAACAACTGTGGTGATTTGCTAAACTAACATAAAAGGGTTGTAAAACTGGGTGCCACACTTTTAATGATGGCTACGGACAAGTCCCTTTGGAATTTGACAAATAGACAATATACATGAATTCTATATGACCTTACTATGGCTAAAGATCAATATTGCAGCATTAGGAAGCATGTATGGCCCCCTTTATTAATGGTTTGAACATCTGATTGCTCTTGCCATTTATAAACAGATTGCCTGTAGACATAGGCCTTATATAGACAAGTATATAATAAAATATGGGACTCATTTATACAGAATATGGTAGGTTAAAATATTAAAAATATACAAGTACTTGTATAATATTTGCATTGTTATAACATCATACTGTTTTTCCTTCATTATATTTCTTTTATTGTTTGGTTAAATCACTTTTTGTTTTTGTTTTCTCTCTTCTTTTTAACATTGTATGTATTTCCACCATTATCTTTGTGTTTTGTTCTTTTTCTTTTTTCTTTTTCTCATTAATTAAAAGGAATTAAAAAATTAAAAAATCAAAGCTGGATCTCTGAGGAGATTTAGTGTAAATTTGTGAAGGTGATGAATTTAAGGTAGCATTTCAGACCAAATATGGACACTGTAAATATTTGTAATGTGCTTTTGATTTAACAAAGATATAATGTCTAGGATACTCAGTATCCACAGCTGGAATTGCCATGGAATCCAACAAGAGCCAAAGAGTTAGCTCTGCAAAGAAATAAGAAACATATACAAGGCTTCTTGATAATTGCAAATTATAATAAATTTATTATAAATTCATTCCTGAAGTTCAGGAAATGTGCTTGGGCATAGAGGCCATTCCCAAAATGCTGCCTGATTTGTTACAGTAGGTCAATAGATTGAGTCATGTTGAACCTCTCTCTGGGATCATATGAGGGAGGAGGTGAATCTCCCTGAGTTCATGTTCCAGCTAGTGAGACAGGACATGATGTACCTATTAGAAATGTATGTAATCTTGAAGTCAGAGTAAACCACCACTGATTTAGCTTCTTTGATGTCTACAGATCCTTCAGATTGTTGTGGCTGTCATCAACTTGAAGAGATACTGGTCTTCTTCCAACAAGTGTCTTGATCTTGAGCACCACTTTCATACAAACTTTGAATACTATCCAAGTCCTTTCCACCCATGATCTGACAATCCCCAGTCCCCACCCTAGACTACTTCCTGGAGAAACTAAGAGCCAATGTTCTTCAGAACCAGCTCATAAAGCCAAGGAAGTATATAGATATTTAGCTGATTATTGCTTTATGGGTGTTTTCCCATAGTTAATCCATCATCAACGCTATGGCTTTTCTTTTAAAGGTCCTGATAATCTTCAATATCTATCCTATGTTCCATCAATTCATATTTGTTCCAATATCTCCTTTAAGCCATCACCATCAGCCTATATCTCTAAGACTCACAGTTCTGATGAAGAGGGAACTGGAATATGAAATGGACTGCATTCTGAATCTATCTGCTACTATCTACCTGCTACTATCACAGATAACCCATTACTTGATTGACTGTATGGCTAATTCAGGTCATTTTTCAGAAAATGCAAATCAGATCTTGTTGTGGTCTGCTGGTGGCCTGCAGAGCTGGCAGCAGAGTCGGATAGTGAGGAAATCGGGGAGGAACATGGGCCAATCCTGGAGTCTGGGGAGGGCTTGGATGAGGGGTCTGCATCGGAAACAGAGAAAGGGACAGCTGGGAGGTACATGCTGCCTCCGGAGCCTCCAGAGTCAGACCTCAGCGAGACAGAGGAACAGGGGGAGCCTGTTCCCAGTGCGAGCATGTGCAGAGCTGCCAGAAGGCAAGAACAGTCAAAACAAAAGGGAAGATTCGGGAGTAGGGCTTGGAGATGATTGGCCCCTCCCATAAGACTTGAAAGAGGAGCAAAGGCACGTGGGCCTTTGCAGGAAGCAACGTTGTTAATTCTATTCAGTTTAAAGTCTGAAGCTCTGTTTGACTCTGGACTCCGTGTGGCTTTGCCAATTAGGTCTTTGGCAGCGTGTCAAGGTAGATAAAGGTGGGTGATTATCAACCTTATCCCAAAGGACTCTTTTATTTGGGACTCATCTGTGAATGAACAGAATTCACAGCTGTTGCAATTAAAGAGGTTTTTTGAACTACTCGTGTGTTTTACTGACTCAGGAAGCCTAGGTCAGAACAGATCTACACAGTGCTTGGTCAGCAGTTTTACTGCCATTACCTGCAGAAAGCCAAGCCTCCAGGTACTGGAGATGGGAGTCATGGATGGGTGACAATTTTGTTATAGACTCAGATTCCCCAGAGTCACAGAGGCCTGATTCATCAAGTTGCCAACATCAGGAATTGTCATATATCATTCATCTCAGGCTGATTCAACAGAAGGTCAGTAGCAGCAGATATGGAAAGAGTCATGAGGAAGAGGTCAAAGATCAATTACAACTTCAGAAAGCCAAGAAAATATGTTCTGCTCAGCAACTTCAGCAGTAAAGAAAAATGTCAGCTAAGCCATACCTGTATCTGACTATATAAGAGAAGCCATCAACATCTGACCCTTCATTGGGAATAATTCATTCATCTTGGATCCGTGTTCCTGCTTTGACTCTCAGCAAAGTGTTGAGTGTTAGACTCTTAGACTGCTGTAGACTATTTGTTTCTCCAATCCCTCTGACTGAACTCTAAATTGCTCAACTATGAACCAAAACTTGGTTTTTTTCTATTTGTGTGTGTGTGCGCGCTATGTGAGTCTGTACTACTAGCTCTCTATTTATTTTCAAGTAGCACAGCTACTTGAAAAAAGCCATTTGTAATAGAGCAAGCATCCAACAAATAAATATAATAGTATTTTTCCTGATACTTGGAATTGAATGAAAAGACTAATAATATATCCAAAAAGGACCTTGTCTTTTTAAAAAAACCTGAATATGTTTACACTGCATCAAATGGTTCTTCTGAGAAACAGAATAATTTCAAGAGCAGTTTATAATGAAACTCAGAAAGATCAGAAATCCAGCTATATGGATCAGTAGAATTTTATAGATTGCAAAGAAACAGAATTAATTATCATGGAAAGGTCACATTTTAGCTTTGGATCTCATATGAATCTAAAAATGATCACATTAGATTTATATTTGGTTTCAATCAATAATAGCAGATGTCTACCTTCTGATTTTTTCTAAAGTATCAACAATTTACATATAGTATCTCTTTTATGGTCAGGATCATAATGTTATTTCTATATTTTACATACCTCCTGACTCAGGCACATACTTACCATGGAAATGGGCATAAATTCCCCCTTCCACAAATAGATGCTCATCACATTAATGATCATATATGGCATATTTTATATCTTACCTGTAGACTTGTTCTAACTGTTACTATTAGCTTCAACCAGGATGGAAATTTTCCAATGGTTTTGCTGAGAAATGATACAATTGTATCCCCATAATCTGGTTTGTGAAATTCAGCTTCATTTAAGCCATCAATCAATATGATGAAATCTTCATTTGGGATCTTCCGTTCTAGAGTTTGTGAGAGAGACATAGAAAAATATGTGCAAAATTATATTAGATTATATGTTTTAAGCAATTATGTGGCCATTTATAGTTATGGAATTAAATTCCTACCTTTATGAAGGCTTTCCAACGGTTCTAAGACTCCCCTCCGGAAAGATGCAAGAGGATCTTGAACACAGGATCGCAAACTAAGCATGCTTTGTAGATGTGGTTCACGCAATAGTTGCTCTCTATATGCAACAAACTGGGGTGAACGGCAGAGCAAGGCTGCTACATTGTGTACAAATTCTGGCACCAGACAGGTGTAGGCATTATCAGCTTGACAATAGTGATATGCAACAACCTAGAAAAGGTGAAGCAAACATCAGTTTCTCAGTACATGCATATTAAATTTAAAAAATTGTTTCATTCAATCAAATAAGAAGAGAGAGGTCTGCCAGATATCTGGAACCTAAGAGGATCTAAAAAAAAATATTAAAGACCTAGTGATTCTTATAAACTCTGGGTTAGGATAATGACTGTGCCTCTTTAGTTTTTTGGTTCTGTCTTCCATTCAGCTGTACTCTCTTTCTTTTATATATATTGTTTCTCTTAATTTTTTTAAAACCCAATCAGATTTGCTGTGGAGTCAGGTTAAATAATGAAATAAAGAAATATAAAAATAAGTAAATAAAACTTACAACTCTCAAAACACAAACATCAATAAGTCTAACATATTTGTTAGAAATAGTACTTGGTAAATAGTATAATAAACGGCAACATTTTGTTCTATCCGGCTCGGGCGAACTGGTAGTGGCAGCTGACGGAGGCTCCGCCCATCCGTACTGACATAATGATGTTGCTTTTTTTGTGACATTTAAGCCTCTGTGTATGTGCAGAAAGCTTTGCGTATGCGCAGATGATAGTGCATGTGGAGCACGCACATTGGCGAACCGGTAGGGAAGGTAAGTGAATTTCCCCATTGAGTAAGGGCATACAAAATTTACAAAAACAGCTCAGAATAATCATTAATATAAAGTTAAAAACAGAATCCTGATTGCATTTTATTTTGTATTTTTCTCAAATGACTAATTCATTATTGCATGACTGAGATGGCTAGTACTCACCTGGCAAAAGCCAGCCAGGATTCCTTCCTTCCATGATGTAAGAAGAAAAGGCAAAATAGAGCTATTTCCCTTCCCTATTAAAAGTTCATAGGGAAAACCCTTCTGCTCCTGATTGGCTGCTTGGAAATTATTTTTTCCTGGCTTTGCTGGACTCTCCCATTATCTAGATCCATTTACAAATAGTTAATTGCAATCAAAGTAAAAGAGAGACCTGGCTGGGTCAGAAATTTCAGAAAAAATAGAAGGAGATAGAACTTCTTGGGCTTCTTGCACCCAATTCAGTACTGCAGGGTCTGAATAAAGCGGTTTCTTTTTGAAGCGAAAGTACAAAAAAGTATGGCTCCAATACTTTTTCTAATGAATCCATTGTTAAGGTGAAAGACTTCAAGCATTATGCAGTAAGCAGGTTGGCATTTGTTCACTGATGGCTGCCTCCAAACACTCAAAGTGCACCCTATCCACCTTCTTCACACTGAATACAGACTGAAAAATGCTAAGCTTTATTTCTATAAATATACAATATTGGTTCTGAAACCAAAGGCAGTGGTTCTATTTTTTTGGTAATCTAAGAAAATGAATTCTGATTTTAACTGAATGTGTCTGGTATGAAACAACTGAGCAAAGCTGCACCTCTCATTTGATAGAAGGAAGGAAGTGAAGACAAAGTGATGAAAATGATTAAATGATGGAGATAATTTTCCTTTGGCTGAGAATGGAGGGAATACCTTCTTCCAGCAAAAACTTTATAATGGCTTAATTTCTTTCCTGATACTAAAGAACCATTTTCAGTAGTTAGGAGGGTTATGCTATCTATCTATCTATCTATCTATCTATCTATCTATCTATCTATCTA